GGGCCCCAAGACGGCCCAGGACGCCTTCAAGACGGCCCAAGAGGCCCCCAATATTGCCGCAAGACAGCCCAGGAGAGCCCCAAATTGCCCAGGAGGCCTCCAAGAGTGCCTCGAGACGGCGCAAGCGGAGCCCTGGACGGCCCAAGACGGCCTCAAGAGAGCCCCAGGCTGTCCCAAGAAAGCCTCTGGCCTCCTCCTTTTCCTCCTCCTTTTCCTCCTCCTCCTCCTCCTCCTCCTCCTCCTCCTCCTCCTCCTCCTCCTCCCCCCCCCTCTGCTCCCCCTCCTCCTGCTCTCCTCTGCCTCCTTCTCTTCCTCTTGCTTCTCCTCCGCATCCTTCTCCTCCCTCCTCCTCCCTCATCCACCTCCTCCACCCTTCCTCCACTTCCCACTCATCCTCCTCCCCCTGCCCCCCCTCGTTTTCATCTTCATCGTTCTCAGTGTCGGCGGCACCGGCCGTAAGGCCTTCGCAATCTAAGGAACGGCTCGAGAACCCGAGCCCCTCTTGATCCCAAAGCGGTCTATCTCAGCGCCTTGACTGTATGTGTGCACGCGTGCACGCCACGTGCGCTGTCTGGCTCGAGCACTGGAGGGCGCGCAGGCAGGCAAGAGGCTTTCGGCTCCCTCGCGAGAACAAAACAGTAAGCCCCCGAGGCACGGCCAACTCCCCTCCAAGAAGCGCGACATGGTCCGCGACTGGGCTGCGCCACGGCTGGTGTGTGTGTGTATGTGGGTGTGTTTGTGTGCGCGCGCGAGGCCCCGGCCGTTGCACTTACCCTTTTCCGCCTCGGCGCTGTGCACGAGGCCACGACCGCCAAATTGTGTGCGTGCGTTTCTTATGACATACCACCGCCCTATCTGCCAGCGCAATGACTCTGCCTAGCCGCCGGCGCAAAACAAATGTGCTTGTGTGTGTTATTGTTGCTGTTGCTGTTGCTGTTGCTGCTGCTGCTGTTGCTGTTGCATGCTAATTATCAACAATGATTATTGTTGGACCCCCCATGCGCCCTGGCGCTCTCGCCTCGGCGGCGGCTAAATTTCATTGAAAATGAGGCTCACGCTCGAGCGGTTTGGGGGGGCGCCCAAACAGGCCCCCTAACAACAACAACAACGCTCCCGCTCGAGACTTCCTCTTGTTTTACCCAGATCCGGTGCTCTTGCTCGCAGCCGAAAACCGCCGCCCCAATTATATAAAACCAACGCTTCCGCTCGAGACTTCTTCCCGTTTTACCTTGGACTTGCGCGCTACTCTTTCTCTCATCGGCGCCGCTCGCAGCAAGAACAACGCTCCCGCTCGAGACTTCCCCATTTTTTACTCAGAGCCGGTGCTTTTGCTCGCCGCCGAAAACCGCCGCCCCAACAAAACCAGCGCTCCCGCCCAAGACTTCCTCCCGTTTTACGCTGGACTGGCGCCCAACTCTCTTTTGAATTGGCACCGCCCCCAGCAAGAACAACGCTCCCGCTCGAGGCTTCCTCCCTTTGTCCTGAAGACGGTGCTGTTCCTCGCCGCCGACAGCCCCCGTCCGGACAAAACCGCGGCTCCCGCTCGAGACTCCTTCCCTTCTCACTCAAGGCGGTGTTCCTCCTCGCCGCCGACAACTGCCGTCCCAACAGAACCAGCGTTCCCGCTCGAGAATTCGTGATGTTTCACGCTGGACTAGCGCCCTACTCTCTTCTGCATTGGCGCCGCTCCCAGCAACAACAGCACCCCTGCTCGAGATTTCCTCTCTTTCTATTCAGGGCCAGGTCTTTGCCTCGCCGCCGACAGCCCCCATCCCCACCAAGCCAATCCTGTCGCTCGATACTTCCTTGTGCTTTACCCTTGGCTGGGGCTCCACTGGCGGTCTCGCATCGGCGCATCAGAGCGCGGGCATGTGTTTTCGAGGCGGGATATGTTGAAATTCCTCGGAGGAAGTGTTTGTAAGACCTCATTGGGCGGGAAATCTATGAATGGGAATAAGGGACCCCCGCGATAGAACAATAATCCCCCATGATGGGGATGATTATTATGATGGTCGCATGCTTCAATTCAATATTCATTTCTAGAGAATGATTATTGCTGATCTTCGGAAACGGTTAAGCGCGCTCTCGCCTCGACGGCGGGTACATCTTCTCTGAAAGCGATGCTCCCGCGCGAGCGTTGGCTTGAGTCAAACATGTGGGCCCTTGGAGGCCCAGCTACTACGACAACGGCTCCCGCTCGATACCTCCTCACAATTTACCCCGAGACACCCTGGCGCCAGAGAGGCCCCCGCACTTAGGAACGGCGCTCTCGCTCGAGACTTCTACGCAATTCAGTCAAGTTGGCGGAGGCCCAGCCACGACGACAAGAGCTCCGGCTCGATACTTCCTCGCGATTTACTCCGAGAGCCCCTGGCCAGCAAGGCCCCCGAACTCAGGAACGCTCTTGCTCGAGACTTTCTCGTAATTCAGGCAAGTTGGTGGAGGCCCAGACACGGCGACAAGGGTTCCCGTTCGATATTTCTCCATTGGTATTCCGAAAGCCCCTGGCCAGAGAGGCCCCCGAACTCAGGAACGGCGCTCTCGCTCGAGACTTCCTCGCACTTCAGCCAGTGGCCGACAAGGAAGCTATTCCCCAAGCAAGGGGGTGCAATCGAAGACGAAGTGGGCGGGCATCAAGGGTCTGGCCATCGCTCGGACCTCCATTCCCTGTGTTTTTTTCGGTTTCGTGCGTGGTTTTTTCGTAAAATCATCAAGGATGGTGCTCGATGGTCCTCGCCGGAGGAAACATGTACACGTCCGAGCGATGCCAAGGGGTTGGGGTATACAGAATGCAAGACACGTGTGCCAGTAAGAGCGAACAGTCTTAAAATGGTTGCTGCTGTTGTTGTTGTTGTTGAACATTATTAATTCTAAAGAATAATTATTGTTGGGGCCCCTGGTGCACGGCCCCCCCGCCGCGCCTAGGCCGCAGCTACATTTTCATCATTTTTTCGCGAAAGCTTCAGAAAAGTGGATGAGGTCCAGATCCGGTTGTTTTGTTGTAATCCGTTTTCCCTTGCAAAAAACACTATAAAATGACATTTCTTGTTCTAATATAATCAAATTTCAAGAATCCCTTGCAAAAAATAAGGTAAAGTGGACATTCGCGCGCGCAAGACGAAATCCTTCCAAAAGCTTAGTGTTCGGAGCGATTTTAACATAAAAACATCAAAAAACCAATGGTTTTTCAACAAAAAAATGTCAAAATCTCATCCCGCGCGCTCTTGCGGATTCGTAGGAAACCCAACACTTTTTAAACATTTCTGTCAAACGGGCTTTTGCGAGCAACTTTTTCGAACTTCTGCGACAACGGTTGCGCACCTGCCAGGGCCATCATCCCTGTCAAATAATACCATGCGGGACACATTCGTTTTTTGCGCGCGCACGCCGAAATCTCCAAAAACCATTGGGTTCTTAAGAATTTTAGCACCGCGCATCATAAAATCACACGAATCGCACCGTAGGTCCTCGAAAATGTAAATGTAACAGAGTTGTGTATTCCCATCATCCCAGGAACTTGACCCAAAAATGTGACCAACTCCGCTCTCTCTGTCTCTCTCTCTGTCTGCTCTCTGTCTCTCTCTCTGTCTCTCTGTATTATGTATTGTATGGCACAATTGCACCATGCTGGGCACATGCGCGCCCCGAATAAGTGACCAAGTTCTGTGGGTGTGTACCCCACGCCAGTGTAGTAGCCACGGTCGTCCGCACGCCACGAAGTGAAGTGTCCCAACGTCATAGGGCGGGAAGCTGGGTTTGGGTGGTCGCGAAGAGTCGTTTGGATATTTGGTAGAGCTTGTAATGCCCCCCCACGAAGTGGGGGTATTGCCTGGTGTCGTATGAAAACCCTGGCACTGGGGAGAACACCACGCGTTCGGGTAAAATGATTGCTGTTGTTGTTGTTGTTGTTGTTGTTGTTGTTGTTGTTGTTGTTGTTGTTGTTGTTGTTGTTTTAATGTGTCCGCGCCTCCTGCTTGCGCGGCCGCCCTCTGCTCCTCCGCCCGCTCGGCGCGCGCCCCGCGCCCAGCGCGCCCCGCCTGCCCCGGCCCTCGCGCCGCGCCTCCGCGGGCGCTGGCGGATGAGAAGCGCGCGTGTCTGTCTTTGTGCGTGTGCTGGGCCATTCGCGTGCCGCGCGGCGGGGCCGGCCGCGTCACATGCTCGGGGAGCGTTCTGACCCCCGAGCCGCCCGCCCCGTCCCTGTGCTCCTTCGGCCGCGTCCCTCCTCCCTCCTCCTCCTGCATGGTGGCGCAACTCGCTGCAACGGAGCCCCCGTTCATGCCTTTCTCGCCAGCGCAGTCACCCTCTGCCTAGCCGCCGACGCCAAAAGTGTGTGCGGGGCCCCTGCTGCTTCTTGCGTCCCAGACGTGCGACGCCATGACGTTTTTTCCGAATAGGTCCCCTGGACGTGCCGACCCTTTCCCCGGGACAAGTTTTCATCCAGAGTCGTTGTTTGACGGTCCCAGGGCCCAGCGAGGACCCCAAGAGGCCGTCGCGATTTGTTGGTGTACGACGCCACCATGTCTGGGTTGATCGCGAGACGCCCCACAATGTGCGTCCCATACCGTTGCGTCTGATCTGCTAGATTGGGACCGTCAGGAAAAAACGAAGCCCAAATTTGTGGGGCACTGCGGAAGGAAGGGGAGCGCGGGCCCGTCCCCGTCAGCCCCCCGCGTCCCCTGCCACCCGCCAGCCTCGCGGCGGGTATGCGTGGCAGTAGGTGGCCACATGTGAACCCTACCCCCCCCCCCCCCAAACGATTTCCAAGGGGGCGTGGGGGGTCACTCCGCTCGGGAGCACCCGAAAGAAGTTAACCCCCACCACCACCGAGGCAGCGCAGCTGGATTTCGAAGCGCCCCTATGAGCTGCAGAGTACCCGCAAGCGGAGAATAAAGAGATCCTTCTCTTTGTAGCGTCAGCCACTTCCAAACAATGGGGTCTATAACCCCCTAACCTCGAGTCCTTGTCTCCAACTGCCCGTCATTGATGGACCCAGTAGCCACCTTCTTCTGCACAACCCGTTTCTTAATCTTCTTGCCGAACACGACTGGCAAGAATACAGGCAAGAGCATCATGACGATCACAACCTGAGCAGTAGGCTGGCAAGAGCACTGGCAAGAGCACACCAGCGTGCTGGATCGAGTACTTTTGCTGGCCAGCGCAATGTGCGCGCGGTTCAGTGGCGGCCATCGCACCACAACAGCACAGTCTCTCACATAAGGCTTCGAGATCAAACAATCAAGTCGATCCGACGACGTGGACGAGCCGACCTTCGGAGCCACACACGAGCCACCGGATGATCGACTCCTGTGCCAGCAACCTGGGGAAGGCGCATCATGCCCCGACACGAGCAGCGGAGGAGGAGGAAGAGGAGGAGGAGGAGGTGGGTGCACGCGCGCTCGCTGGATGAGAAGCCTTTGGACGACGCAATGGCGACACCGCGGATGGCAAACCGCCAAACGGCGGAACAGTCGAGGAGCATCCCCGCGCCCCCCTGAGGGGGGAGCGATACTGGCCAGCGTGGGCATGGCAGACAGGAGAAGGCAGACGATCCGAAAAGAGAAGCAGCAGGTGCTGTCCCAAGTTGACAGCGCATACTGCTGGGCAGACGACGCGTGCCATTTCACATACAGTACACGCAGCAGCGTTCGCTGTGGATCAGCTGGGATCAGGCTCATGGCCAATAAGAGGGGCAATGTGCAGAGGGATGAATCAAGCATGCGCGTCACCTCAAGGTCTCGTCATCAACACTTTCCTGCCCAAGCTTCGGGACCGTCTACTGGCCTACAGAGGGCAATGGAGGGGTCCACATCGCCGTTGTAAGAGGAAGAAAAAACTACATAAACATAACGTTAAACGGTTGAAGGACCGCGCGGATTTCTAGGATCGGCGCTGGACCCCCCTCCCTGGCGCGAGGAGCGCGCCAGGGGTGGCGCCAGAGGCACCGCCAGGGGGGCCCAGCGCCGATCCTAAAGAACCGCGCGAACCTCGGGGAGTCTGCGTTGATGCAAATTTCTGCGAGTCGCAGAGGGCAACCGATGGGGTCCCCACCGCCGTCGCGAAGCTCTCGCTGAGCTCCAGCCGCTGCCTGGGCACCTCTGCCCAGAGAGGCCTGAAGAGGTGAAGAGGGCCCCAAGAATGGCCTAAGGGCGCACCAAGAGAGCCTCGAGATGGCCGCATCACCTGTTACGACAACGGGCCTTGGGCGCTCTTGGAGCTCTCTTGAGGCGCTCCGAGACCGCGCTGGAGTTGAGCAGGGACCGACCGTCCCAGCATTTCCATAACGAGGCCTACCACGAAATTTTCTTAGAATCCACAATTTTTCACATTATTAAAACAATGTTCTTAGAACATAAGCCCGATGTGTGAAAACAAGACAGTCTCAGCCAGAAATACTCTAAGAACATCTCGTGCAGACCACCTATAGGAAATCCATCCAGGACGCTTCGCCACTGCTCCATGGAGAGGCCTGGAGGCCCCCGGGACGGCCCTGAGATGCCCCCGAAGGGAGAGCCCCGAGAAGGCACCCCCCGAGGCCGCCGAAGACCCACGCTGAGGGGCAACGATAGGGGGGGGACTGGCATAGGGGGGGATGCATCGACCTGGAATCGGCGATAGGTCGCTGACAGATCGGCGATAGGCCCCCGATAGTGAATCCGCACCTTCCTGTGCAGGTTGGGACTATCGGGCCCCCATCGGCGGTCAATGGGCGATTGAGGGTCGATGCATCCCCCCCTGTGCCTATTAATCTATCCCCCCCCATCGTTGCCCCTGACACGCTCCCCACGCGTGCGCGCAGCTCCCGCTCTGGGCGCCGCGGCCAGGGGCGCCTCCGGCGCCTCCGGCGCCTCCCGCCCCCCTGGTCTGGGCGGCGCCTCTGGCGCCGCTCCCGCTCCAGGCTCCGGGCTCCCGCGCTCCAGCCTCCCGCCCCTGGCGCGCGGAGCGCGCCAGGCAGTGCTGGACCAAAACGTTGTTTTTCGTGTTGTGTTCGTTTGCTCTTCGTTTTGCTCGACCTGCTTTCCTGTACCTCCCTGCCAAAACGAAAAACAAAGCACAGCCGAAGTCCAGCAAAACATCGTTTAGGACCCGACCTGGCGCCAAGTGTGGCGCCAGAGGCGTCGCCAAGGGGGTCCAGCGCGGATCCGAGAAATCCGTGCGGACCTCATGTTTGTGTCATCGCTCGTTCCCCTAAGACATGCGGTCGACGATCTACAACTGACTACATACCAGACCACCCCAACATAACCCCAAGACCCGCATTTCTGATTGGGGGGGTACGGGTCCCACTCGGGTGTTTTCAATGTTCCCCGACACCCCCCCCACTGGAAACTGAGGGCAAATCGGGGCCTTCGGATTGGGTTGGTTGGGTGGGCGGTGAACAACGGGTCAAACGCGACATGGCATACCACCCTCATCGAAGGCAAACCCAAGTTTCTATCCAACCCCTGGCCCCCCGAATGTCGATGTTGATGGACGCGCGCAGCGCGGCCCGCGGGGTCAACCAAAACAGTGCAGTCGCCAGTGTCGGCGTCAACGTTGAAATGGGGCGTCCATGGGCGTCGCCGCATGGTGGGACAAAATGTGGTTGATTTGGATGACGGGTGTAAACCTTTGAGCGACGATCTGCAACGGATCACACGCGAGATGGCATAGCGACCGTCACTGCACCCGAACCGTTCCTGCTACAAGGATGCAGAGACTGGCCTGATCAAGGAGGGGCTTACGCGAAGCGTGAATGAAGCTCATGCTGTCCCTTTTCTTGGCGACACCCGCTCGCCGCACCACGCCGCAACTTACGCGGGCCACCAGCGCGGCACGCTTTATTGGAAACGAGGGCGCTTACGCGCGACCTTCCGCGGGCAACTTACGAACGAATGTCGGCACGGTCGAACCCGTTTTTCTGCGTCGCTCATCTGGACCCCCGAAATGGGTGCGGCAAAGATGGGTACGAAGCCCAACAGCAAATGTTGTCCAAAACTGACAGCTGTCGCTGTTGGGCAGGCGGTTTTCTGTCTCGAAGGGACAGCGTCCGCGGCGACACCGACAGCGAGTCCGCTTATAAATGAACAGGAAATTGCATCGGTACCATACCCATGCTTTCCGTACTCATGTTTTCCGTACCCATTCTGGTCGCCCAGACGACAAGTCCATCGCCCCGGGCCAGGCCCACCCTGGGCTCAGGAGCGGTGAGCACGTCCTCCTGGACCCAGGATGGGACTGACCAAGAGCAGTCTACATATGTGGACATGTGGTGGGCTCCACAAACCCTGAACTCAAAAATGCTGACATCGCCTAGGAAGCCGATGCTGAATTCCACCGACTTCCGCAGAGCTTCTGCCGGCTTCCGCGCCGGCGGAGCCGCCCCCGTTTTACTTCCGCCGCCTTCCGCAGAGGGAAGACATGGCAATAGAGGATGTCCGCGCGGATTTCGTGGATCCGCGCCAGACCTCCCCCTGGCATGCGGATTGCGCCAGGGGCGGTGCTGGAGGCGCCGCCGGGGGGGGCCAGCGCGGATCCAAGAAATCCGCGCGGAGCGCCAACAGTTTATGTTTATGGCGTCTTTCCTTCTTCGAGGCGACGCGCTCGGTCCTCGAAGGCGAGGCCCTTCCTGGAACGCCCCACGTGTCCATCGCCCCTGGCCTTAGGTCGGGCATGTGCCCCGACAGGCGGGCTGCGGACGAACAAAAATATAAACAACCAAACAAATGATCGAAAATGGTCGAGCGAACCCCAGACTACTTTTCTTACTATGTTTGAACGTTCCCCCTGCAGGGGGACACGCCCGACTCAACCCCGGCCAGGCCTATCCTGGGCCCACGAGCGGTGTGCACGCGCCCTCCTGCACCCGGCATGGGCCTGGCCAGGGGCGGTAGATATACGTTGAGGTCGGGCATGTCCCCCTACAGGCCAGCTTTCGACGAAGAATTGAAAAGATGCCCCCAAAAAACATAATGCACAACAAATGCCGTCAAATATAAGAAAAATCGCGTCCAGACTATGTTTAGACTAATTTTCAAAATTCTCGGGGAACAAACAATGACATGAACATAAACTGTTGGAGGTCCGCGCGGATTTCTTGGATCGGCGCTGGACCCGGAGCGCGCCAGGGGCGGCGCCGGAGTCGCCGCCAGGGGGCTCCAGCGCAGAGCCACGAAGTCCGCGCGGGCCTGCGACAGATTATGCTCATGTCATTGCTTGTTCACCGAAAATGCACGTTCGGGGCTTTGCTAACGGGGGCTTAGCCAAACGGGGGCTTAGGCGTTCCACATGCCCCAGTTCACGGTGCCCAGATCCACGGCGCCCAGGGCTCCCGAATCGGGGGCATAGCCGCACGTGGAGATCGGCGTTCTCCGTGCCTGGGGAAACCAAGAGATACCGACATCGCTACTCCCCAGACCTCTCCCGGGCTGCGTGCTCAGCAGGCTTTCGGGGCGAATCCGGCGGTGACGACGAGCGGCACGGGCCTGACATGAGGGAAAGGTAGCGTTAGGTCGGGCATGTCCCCCTACAGGCGGATTTTGAACGAGGAACGAAAAATGTGCAAAAACTATTCAAACATACGCAAAGATATCGAAAAAGCGTTCCCATACGACTTTTTAAAGCATCATTATTGAATGTTCCTCCTATATCGGGGGCTCGCAGACATGGATTAGCGATCCATGGATTTGGCGCGCGATCGCCAAATCCATGGATCGGGGGAGGTGCCCTCCCCAAAATGCGGCCAGTGCCGCCTCGTTCGGCCGCGGACATCTGCGATTTCCCATGGAAACGTGACCCGTCGCTAATCCACGCCCCCTTAATCCATGTTTGCGATCGCCTGACTGTAGAGGGACGCGCCCGGCTTAAAGGTAGCGGCTTGGGCACCCCTTCCTCCTCTGCGTCTCTGGCGCCCTGACTCGACTCGTCGCTGGGAGCTCCGGACAAGGAAACCTTCGATAAGGAACCCAGGGTCTGGAAGCCAGTGGAACTCCAATCGTGGATCGGCCATGGATATCACCACCGACCTCATTAGATGAGGAAGCCCCCTGGCGCCTCCTGGAACTATTCCTTAACGAACGCCCCCACCGTAGCGGCATGGGCACCCGTTCCTCCTCTGCGTCTCCGGCGCCCTGACGCGCCTCGTCGCTGGGAGCGCTGGGGGTGCCCTGCGGCGGGCTCCCCCGACGTCGGCCAGGACGGTTACCTCCAGGGCCGTAGGCGACCCGAGGAGGGGAGGGGGAGGAGGAGGAGGAGGAGGAGGAGGAGGAGGAGAGAGGGAGGAGGAGGGGGAGGAGGAGAAGAGAGGAGGAGGGGGAGGGAGGAGGGAGGAGGAGGGGGAGGAGGAGAAGAGAGGAGGAGGAGGAGGGAGGAGGAGGAGGAGGAGGAGGAGGAGGAGGAGGAGGAGGAGGGGGAGGGAGGAGGAGGAGGAGAGAGGAGGACGGGTCGCCTAAGCCCTTCGGAGAAACCCTCCACAAAAACCCCGATGCTTGGGAGAATGGGGAACGGCCGGTTTCTTTCGGGGATCTCCTGACCGGGGTCCATCCAAACCCGGGTCAGTCAGGCCTTGCAGGATACTGCAACATCCTGCAGGATCCTGCACCCAAACCCGGGTCAATGCACCCCTTGCCCTGCAAGATTCTGCAAGATCCGGCGCTCTGGCTGACCCCCGAGCCCCGATTCTTGGGCCATTTTGTTCGGCTTCCGGGGGGCGTCAACGGGTCGCGGAGAGCTCCGAGGCGGTCCAGCAGAAGCGTGTCCGAGCGCTCTGCAGCGGCTGATTCCGGTCCTGGGCTGAGGTCGGGTATGTCCCCCGGAAAATAGCAAAACAAATCCAACTATGTTTGAATATTCCTCCTGTAGAGGGACACGCCCGACTTGGTCCTGGGCTCGCCCGAGCTGCTCACCCCCGGGCCAGGGGCAGGCAACAGAGCAGGCCTTGGCCTGGCGCGAGTCATGACACCCTCTGGCCCTGAGCTGGGCAGGGCTTGCACGGAGGAGTTCCCACAATCACTCACATGGCGGATTTCGGAAGCCCTGGACCACAAAGCGTGTTCATCTCTTGGACGCGCCTTTTTTACTTCCGCCGCCTTCCGCCGAGCTTCCGCCGGCTTCCGCCGGCGGAGGCGGCCTCGTTTTACTTCCGCTGACCTTCCGCCGACCTTCCGCGGCGGAAGAGATGACAACTCTTTCGATCCTTGAAGGCCAGGGCATGTTTAGAACGCCCCACATAAATGAGCACCCGCCAAGCTAGAAGTCCGATCAAGACTGCTAGGGTAGACCTGAATTGGGTTATATGAAGATCCCTGCCAGCTCGAGTCCAAAGGCGAGCTTCGGACTGACGGTTTTAAACACCTTCGATGGTTCTGACATTCCTAAATCAGATATCATGCAGGCTGAAATGTTGCTCCAGACTGGACTTCAATCTCACTTAGACTCGCCTGTTTGGAATGTCAAGCGCGCTGCAAGCGAGCTTTCGATCCAGACCATCTCCGATTGTGTGGGTGTTCGGGCTCTCGACGGTCGGCAATCAAGATCGCTCGGGGCGTCTGGGCACTGGCAACTGGGTGGAGTGGGGCGAACTCGCAGATCAACGCGCACTAAGATCGCTGCCTCCTCCAGCGGCGCTGGGACGTGAAAGAAGCTATCTTGCGGGGCGATGAGTGCCACGATCAGTCCAGCAATGCCAGACCAGAACGCCGTACCACTTTGGAGGAAATCGGCCATGCGATAGAAAGAAACCATGCTTCGGTGACTGCCCGAGGTTCTCCGGGCAAACGGATTTACTGCGTTAAAGCTGATGACAGGTTGTGTTGAGAGGGCTTTCCAACACAATAGGTAGAGGCTGAGTAAGCGTACGGAACGCAAACTGCAACCCTTGAGCCGACAGCGGGTGATTCACCAAGGCGTGCTATGACAATCGGGGCAACCATAACGACAATGCAACAACAACGACGCGGCATTCAACTTGCGCGTTATGGAACAATGGACATCTCGAACAGACATGCGACCCGAACGAAAACATAACATGTGATGAGGTTGCGGGCCACCGCCAACGCGCACAATATAGCATACTGCACTCATCACCGTAGCTTCTGACCGATTCCAAGTCGGCCGCTGCTGTGCTGAAAAAGCGCAGGCGTGAATGGCCTGATTGACCCCCCGCTTGTTTTGGCGTTCTGGCCACCTTTCCTGCAAACCTGACCGGACAAGAATGGGAAGCACCGGTTTTGTCCACCAAGCGTGTCGGAGAACGTATGGTGGAGAACGTCAACGAAACCTAGAAACGCAACACAACAAATTAAGACACATGCTGTCGGTTCATTGCGATGGCCTGCCGCGCTAGTCTGCCGTACTGGTCAGTCGAGCTAATCTGCCGCCCTGGGCACATGATGAACTTCGCGGGCCGTCTAGGGCTCTTGGGACTCTCTTGGGCTCTCTGGGGCCCTTTGAGGAAACTTGTGAAAGCCTGTTGGGAGCCCGTTGTGAGCCTTTTGGGAGCCTGTTGGGGGCGTCTGTGATCCTCTTGGACTGTCCGGGCGCGTCTCGAGGCTTTGTGGGGGCTCTCTCGGGCTGCCTTGGCGTTCTCTTGGACTGTCTTGGGGCTCTCTTGGGCAGTCCCACGGCCTCCTCGGGCGCTCTTGGAGGCCTCTGGGCGCCCCTTGGGGGCCTCTTCGGGGTCTCTTGGGGCGCTTTGGGGGTCCCCTGGCAGGCCTTCGGGGGCTCTCTTGACCGGTTTTGAAGCCCTCCAAGAACGATTCCAGGATAATTTGGTTTCGGAGCCCCCTCCGGAGACGATTTTTTGAGGATGTCTCAATCCAGAATCCGCCAGCGAGGTTCGGGGTGCGGCGCGGACCGAAAAACAGCTTCAGAAAAACGGTCCACGCCAGAGGCGCTTCCCGTCATCCGCCACCGAACCGTAAGCACGAGTGGGAGACCCTCAAGTGCTCAATGGTCCTCCAGATTGACTGTTTTACAAGCTTTATCCCAAACCCCCGACCCCTTCCTGGGCGCTTATCCGCGCTGCCGGGCGCTCCAGCGCCCTCCTAGGGGGCGGCGCGGGACTTTCCCCGAGGCCCTTGAAGCGTCGCTTGAACTCCAAACCTCCAGATACCCGCATGGTGGCCAGCCATGGGAGCTCAAGCCATTGAACATAATAGTTTTAATAGGTTGCTGCGTGGTTAGAGCGTGCTCGCCTTCTCACTGGTAAGAGCGTCCAGGATAGATCAAGATGCTCCCAATGTCGCCCCAAGACATCCCCCGAACATCTAAGAGGGGACTAGGACAACTCTGCGTGACGCTCGGAAGCCTCCACAACTTACATAAGGGTAGGGTTGGGCCCTCTCTCGGGTGAAAGGAGGCCTCCTCTTGGGGACAAGCGGGGGGGGTCTTTGCTTGGGGGGAGAGAAGGCTCTCCTGACGGGGCATGGAGACCTCATGTCAGGGGATGCGGGGCCCCGTTTCTGAGTGTGAGGAAGTCCCCGCTCAGCGGAAAGGGGGGGGCGCTTCTCCTGGAGGGCATTCCAAAAGGGATCAGAAAGCTCAGGTCAAGGCGATTCTGGGGGGGCAAGGGAGCAGAGGTCCTTTCCTCCTTCAGTCCCACTTCACCCCACCCCCTTTACCTCCCGCCCCTCCTCTTCTTTATCCCTCCTCCTCCTCCTCCCCCTCCTCCTGCTACTACTACTACTACTACTACTACTACTACTACTACTACTACTACTACTACTACTACTACTACTACTGCTACTGCTACTGCTACTACTACTACTAATACTACTACGACTACTACTACTACTACTACTACTACTACTACTACTACTACTACTACTACTACTACTACTACTACTACTACTACTACTACTACTACTACTACTACTACTACTACTACTACTACTACTACTACTACTACTACTACCACCACCACCACCACACCACCACCACCACCACCACCACCACCACCACTACTACTACTACTAGTACTAGTACTAGTACTAGTACTAGTACAAGTACTAGTACTAGTACTAGTACTAGTACTACTAGTATAGTACTAGTACTAGTACTAGTACTACTACTACTACTACTACTACTACTACTACTACTACTACTACTACTACTACTATACTCAACCTCCTTATCCTGACCCTCTTCCTGCCCATCCTCCACCCCCTGCTCTTCCCCTTGGCTCGTGTGCACGCAGACATCCCAGACACGGGGACGCTGACACATTTGGTTGAGCACAGTGGTACATGAAGGGCGTCCAACATTCCAGCCTGCTTTCTATCGAAGCCTACATAGACACACACACACACCTAGCATGATCATCCTTGGGGCGATACGGATGTTTTGGGAGGATGGGTGCAGCTTTGGATTTGCGATTGGCACCAAATCGAATTCGCAATATCACTATCCAACGGTATCGCTGTCGATCTGTCCATATCACTATCGATCGGTCTCACTTGCAACCAACCTCTTGAACTATCGGTGCTAGTATCAATGCTAGATTGGTCAGACTATCCACGGGTATCACGATCTATCTACCCAGATCCCTGCCAAGCTACCGACCGATATCACTATCACTATCAATGTACTGGTCTTATTGTCCATTGGTCTCGCCCCCCCCCCAAAGCTCCGACGCACATAAGTGGGAAGCGTGGGTGCGACAAGCACTAACGTAGGGGCTATATCGGGCCGCTGGTAGGGACATCATGATGTTCTCACCCCCCTGACCAAGAAGCCAGACACGAACACAAGGCTGGATTCACATGCAGAGTATAGGCGGAGGGCTGGCGTACCTGGCCACGTGAGGCGGGGAAAGGTCGAAAACCATGAACTGGACACTAAACTGTCGCTTAACACCGAATGTTAAATCTATAGAAGACCGGCCCTGCCCCCCTGGCCCAACTGGGCGCCAACTATCCACGCCATGTTCAAAACCATCCGAAACTATCGGAACCTGCATGACTATGACGGAGACAACCGGGGACTATCTGGCGCTATCCGACACTGTCGGAGGCAACCCGACGCCACGGGATGCAGAAGTTGCCCCGACGAAACAAGTATGGTTGCGCAAATTATGCGTGAAACGTGTGCGTGTATGTGTGTATGTGTGTGAAGGTTCCTCTTGTAAAGAATCGCGGTGATAATCTCGCTCAATCTTGCTGTTGCAGTCGCACGTCGCTTGTGCGTCGTCCTGGGTCAGTCCCGAAGCTTAGGTTGTTCGGCAATGTTGGATTTAAAGGAATTATCGCCGTGACCTCGATGAACAAGTTGCGACACACCGATGCGCATGCTGAAGACTTCATATGCGCGCCCTCCCACAACTCACAACTCGATGGGCGAATGACCGTGCCGGCAGCATCAACGCCAGCCTCCAGGCCAACATCAATCACCTGCAAGAGCCGACAAAATATTAGTTCACAATTCCGCTTCCTACGCCAAGCTACTGGGTCCACTTGCACGCGCTCCTGCTACGAATATCCACAACATACCCGCCAATGAATCAAGTCATTGCACATGGATGGCAATGTCCGCACCTTACGCTGTTGTCGACACGTGCGGAATTGAATGTATGACCAGTGTTCCTCTGGTAAACTAACCATCCTCGACTTCGGAAACAATCATGTGCTTAATGCGTGCGCCTGCTCAAGTCAGCGCTTGCGCGCACTTATTTCTCAACATTTCGTCTTCCAACGCTAACCGTATGTCGCAGCATCATGGGTCAGCCCGAATTGATTGCCTAAATGTCCATACACTCTTCGCTCCTCCCCACGCAAGCCCTTCGAGCACGGGGGCCTGCTTCGATGAGCTTGGAGTGTCGCTCTGCTCCCTGGCGCTCGAAGCTGTAGCAGTCCCTCGCGCACGGCAGATCACAAATGGAAAGAGGGCAAGCAGGACGAATCAAAGATCCGACGCCAATCATGTGGGTCTCCACAGCGACAGAACTTTCCCTCGAAAGCGACGTTCCCCTCTAGTCCCCAGCGTCTTGACGGCGATGGCGAGTTTGACAATGTGCCGAGGCTGAGACACCATCAGACCACGGCCGAAGCTGTCTTACCAGGGGCGGTCACGATAGTGGTGCAATGTCAAAGACAGAAGACCACAATATGTGAAATAACATACCAGAGAGAAGACTTAAAGGCGCCACCCGATGAGGACCAGTGAGGGAGATTATAGGTTAGGCAATTACTCCAACCATGTTTGCTGCAAGTCTGCAAGACGCCCACAAGAGTTGCACAGAACAATCTCAATCATAACAGATGCGATAACAACCATAACACCTCACTCTACATAACCCCCTCTCCCGCTTCATGTATTATGGACGTCTTCTACCTGACCCGGGCTCCAATGTTCTTTGCCTTCGTGATGAACCACTTTGGGCGCTCGTCGACTGCATGGGAATTTGAGTGGCCCCTGATCAAGGACATCGGTTCGCGAGGAAGAGAATAATTCTCTGTGCGTGTTGGGTGCGCGCCCGCGACCCTTGCGATCTTGAGATGCGCCTCCACGTGGGGCTTTGCGCGCATGACGGCCCGCGCTCCCCTTGACCTGGGATTGATTGGTCTCCCTGCAGGCTAGCTATAGAGTTGGCAGATCTGGGCGTGTGTTGACCGGATTATGAGAGGCCGTTGCCACGAATCCGAAGCACCAGGGGGGCGGTTTTAAGGGAACATTTGAGACGCGGGCGGGGGAGGCGGCTAGGCCATTTTGACACGCGCAAAATTTCACGTCATCGTTGCCGCCATCTT